AATCTGAAAGTGTAGTACATATCTACAAAATGTGCAGCAGATGCTTCTCCAGACAGATTTACACTGGAAAACTAGTCAAGTCTTTAAAAGCATGACCTGACTGGAAATGTGTGATAAAGTGGAAGCTGTGGAGCTGTCAGATGGAGGAGCTGTAAGGCAGAGGCATGTGTATAATCTCGATGTTATGGGTTATATAATGCATCTCAACCCTCCTCCCTACAAACGTACAGTACTGCGTGCTGTTTATATCTTCCCTCCTTCCCCCTAACTCACACTCTTCCTTAATCTTTTTCTCCCCCCTTATTCCTTCTTTCCTCAGGTCGTCATCATCTCTACAGCTCCAGACTTTGCTTTCTTTCTTCTCATCTGTGAATAATTCTCTCCATCAAAGAAAGAGAGACGTGGAGACACTGCTAGTGTCCAACTGCTAGTGCTGTTCTGCTCCTGCTAACGAATCCTTCAACTCCTGTGCTGTCTTTACTGAGCTGGAGGGGGGGAAAAATCAACTCCATCCATCACAAGCTACACTTTTGAGCATCAGACTACACATTTACAAACACATGTGGACACTTAACGGTACAGTGGGCTGAAATCAGGTGTACATTTTGGGATCTAGCGAGGAAACACCCACCCACACACACACACACACAGACAAATACACAAATACAGAGTTTGTAGTATGTGAGTAGTCCATGTGTGCTTCAGATTAGTGTAGTATTTCATCTAGAAGGAGTGTGACGTGACTCTAAAAAAAGTCAAAAGTAAGCCATCGTAGAATGGTCATTTCAAACAGGACCAAAGGTTCATGCCCTTGTACAGACTACAAAAAGAAGAAAATCCTTACGTCAATATTTTTCTTTTAGTGTACAGTATATGCCGTACTGTATAGGAATACATCTCATGTAGTACTAGCAGGACGAAATATCCACCGTGGATACTCTCGGCCATTTTGGACGCCTTCTCCAGGGTTCCTACCCTCTGGTTTCAGAGTTAACTCGCTTATTTTCCCCAGAGGAAAGACGACGAGGCATCCAGTGGTCTTTATTGATGTCAGAAGAGCGAAAAATGAGGACAGACTCATTGGTCTAAGCATGTTACATAGCCTTGAAATGTGTCCCTCTCCCTCATGCTTTCTGTCACAGTCCTCATGGTGCTCGTCGGTATTTTTTAAATTATTTTGCTCCGTCATTTGTGTGAAACAGTATACATGCAACCATGCGGAAATGAGTTTATTCATGCCATTTTTTTTTACGGTCCACTGCGGATGAGATGATGCGAACTATTTGATCGACACTGGCTTTCAGGCCAAATCGCCAGACTTTTCCTAATGTAGGACAAAACGGGTTCAACGAATCCTGGCTTTAGGATTGGACCAGCATCTGTTTGGAGTGCACTAGCTGGAGGATGTATCCCACACTGAAGGATATCACCACTCTAATTTATTTTTCAATCATTCCAGGACAATGTGTTTTTTTTTTGTTGTTTTTTGTTCCTCGAGCTTCAATTGACAAAATTATTAGTCCGTATCATGTCACCGACAAGACTTTAGGAGGACACACACGTCCGTGTTGCTTTTATTAGTGTGTGTTTCTGTGTTTGTGGGCGTGTTTGTTTTGTATCGTGCGTGTCTGTGCGTGTGCGTATGCCTGCGTGTCACTGTGACCTTGTGTGTGACACGTTTTTGTGCTCACCTCCTCCTTTTCCTCTTCTCCCGTGTCCTTTTCCTGTCTTGCCTCCCTCGCTCCTCGAATCCCGGCATCCACAGACTGTGAAAAGCGCGTCTTGGAGCCAACTTTGTGTTGTGTCTTTACAAGGAGCTATTTTCTGTGTGTGTATGTGTGTGTGTGTGTGTGTGTGTGTGTGAGTGAGTGAATGTGTATGTACTATACGTGCCTCATTGCACTAGGTGGGGAAACACTGTCTTTCATAGACATTAGTTTGTATTGTCTATGTCGTCTCTGAAATCAGCTGCCAATCATTCAGCCCTTCTCTCCTCTCTCACCCTTTGCCTGATGTAAGTAACTGTGTTGATTGTGTACTTTCAGTAGTTTGTGTACTGTATGTCCGAGGGAAAATCAGGACGGCG